AACAATCGTGGTCCTAACTCAGTTTTCGTCCCCCGTTGGACTTGAACTGGCAACCTTACGATTGGTGACCTGGGAGCGTAACCACTTCGCTACTGACCCACAGGTCATCAAGATCTTTTTAATATTAAATAAATATTAATTTATATATTTTAATAACTATTAACTAAAAGAAATATAGTAATATAGTAAAATAATTATATTGTTATTTTTTAAGTGCAAATCTAAAGGTTAAATTTCAATTTTAATAAAAATTTAAAAATTTTTCTGTATTATAGTTAACTGTTATCTGCTATTAGTTGAAATAAGATATCTGTTATTTGTATTATATTAATATAACTAAAAGATTATATAATATTTATACAACTTACTGTTGTATAAAAAAACAAACTAGTACTAAATAGTATAAACTTGTAATAAGTTTTTGTAATTATATAAATTACAAAAGCCAAAAGATAAAAGCCTACTTAAAAGATCTGAGTAGATAACTTTTGATAATATTATTGTAAATACTAGATTTAGAAAACAGAACTAGAACTTATAAAGCCAGATAAAGTGTTAGTTTTTAAGAAAGGCTGTTATAATCAGTCAGATTACTAGAACCTTTTTAAAAAAAAAATTACATACTAGAAAATATGTAAACCAAAAGTATAATTGTATTTAACTTTTTAAACTATCTGAACTAAGAGCTTGATAAAACTTGAATTAAATATTAAAGTAATAGAAATATATTGTAAAGTAAGTACTAGAATCAGAGTAAACTTTATAAAAACATAATAGTTTAATAATAAGTCCTAACTGCAAATATTAGTTTTAACTATAGCATTACTGAATTAGCTATAAAAATATAATAAAAAAGATTTTAAAAAGTTTAATACAAAGTCAAAAGTTTTTTAAATAAGTAAACTGCCTTAAAGACTTAGTAAGCATAATATATTTTTATTAGTATTAATTAGAATTATTAGTAGATTAGAAAATTAGTTAGATATAAAAACCAAAATGTTTAAATAAAAAATTTATAAACAAATTTTAAGTATAATAACTAGTATAAAACTTTTAGATAGATACTTTAATTAGATAATAACTAAAGTTATATAAGTAGTTATTTGTATATTTTTTTTATAATTGTCTTTTGTAGTTGTAATGCAATTATTAGCTAAATATACTATTAATAAAATTCTAAGTTGCAAATATTTATCTTAATATTAAAAAAAAAATAACTATTGTCTAAAATAATTTCTTATAATAAATATATTAATAAAATAAATATTAATTAATTAAATAGATAATTAAAACTAATAAAATAAATTAAAACTATATAAAAATATTAACAAATCTATAAAATATATATAATAAAATAAATAATATAAAAAAAACTAATTTTATTACAATAATTAAAAAAATTTTTAAATAAAAAATAATAATATTAATTAAAGTAATTATAATTAATATATAAAAGAGATCTTATTAGAACAGTCTCAAAGACTAGTCTGAATAGTTTTTTAGTAATAAGTATAAACTTATTATAATATAGCAGATCAGCTCTAAATACTTGTATAGTAGCCAGAAGATATTAAACCTATAAATTAAACTAATATTTGTATAGTTATATATACAATTCTCTTAATAAAAGATTTTGGCTAAGTTGTCAAAAAGTTAAAAAAATTTAATATATAAACTTATACTAATTAATATATATAAAAGGACCTCTAGCAAAAGGTGGCTTTAGGAAGATCACATGATCATGAGAAAATTGCAATTAAAGTTAATTATATGAAACCCAAAATTTTTAAAAATGATTTTCATTATTAGCTATGTTTATACTATAAAACTTATTAATAAAAAATTTTCAAATTTAATAAAAAGTTTACTATAAGTATAAAATAATGCTGTAAATATATTTAATTAATAAGTAAAATATAATTTGCTTAGTAAAAAGTTTTTTTTTATATAATAAAATTATCATTCAAATTTTTTTAGAAATTTTTTGTATAACTAATTTATCATCACTATTACTATATTTATAAAAAAAAAATTGCTATTTGTCACCAATAGTGATATTACCAAAAATAATATATCATAAAAATCTACAAGCTAACACATGTTGAAGGTACTAAGTAAAAATGTTCAAAACCTCCAAAAAATCTAATCATACTGAAGATTTGGACCTTTATACTTAACTTTAACCTTGATCTAAAATTACACTCTATCTCTAAATTTAATAAAAGAAATAAGAGGTGGTAATATCACTATTAACAATAAAAACTAAAATTGTTATAAAAAACTTTTTACTAATAAACTTTAAAATTCGATATCAATAAAATACCAATTCTAAATTTATGTTTCAAATAAATTTTTTTTGAATTTATTAGGTTTAGGACAATATTACAGAAGAGAATATTTACATATTGTGCAATTTCTTTGTATAGTTTCTTCTGTCTTTTTAGCAAAAGTGGTCTAGTACTAATTAGATAAAGTAATACATTAGCATCAAAAAAAAATGAATAGTCATATTTTTGTATTTATTTTCAATTTTGTCTTTAAAAAATCTATCTTGAGATTTCATGAAGTAAAATTAAAATGACAATATTTGTAAATATTGGGTAGTTTTTTATACATCTCAAAATACTTTTTAAAATTATAATACTAAAAACCTTCTTTATCTAAATAGTGCTAAGCAATATTAAAATTATTTGTGATTAAATAATTAACAATTGAAACTACATTATTCACAATATTACTTTACTTTTCTGATAAAAAATTTTAATTAGACCAAAACAATCATTGCAAATAAACTTTGTGTATTCAAATGTCATAAAATTTAATTCAACTTTCTTATACGTACTATGATCAATTAACCATAAATAAAAGAATAATGAGTAATTATTTTTATTTTGACTTACACAATTGTCACAGTAACAATTAACTTTTTTTTTCTATAATTATATTTTTGAATCACATACTACACCAAACTTAAAGTGCAGTTTACTTCTTTTTCTTATTTATCATTATTAGGCATTTCAGCCTTGTTAATTATATAATTTATTTGCTATATATTAGAATAGTTTCCTGTATTACAAATACCAAACAAATGTACCTTATAAGAACTTCTAAAAATAAAGATCCAATTTGTTACAATAAATATAGAATTTGTAAATTTTAAGCTCAGTCATATGTGATATATGCACAACCATTAAAGATTTTAAATGATATAAGAGATTTAGTAAGATTTGAATTATATTTACTATCTTTAATCACATTTGTTATATTATTATTATAATAATTATGTTCTTTTTGTGCACAGTTTAGATGAGTTATATAATTTTCTGTTAGTTCTACTTTTTTTTTATATTGTGTAACATGCTGAATTTCTATTTTTATTGTTTCATATAATTCACACAGATCAGATTTTGAAGATATAAATTGAAGTGATGGTATTAAAGCTTTCTAGATTCTAATAAAGGTAGTTTCAAACATAATACAAGTATTATTTCTATGCTTATTTTTATAAGCTTGTACATAATCATGATATACTAAAGCATAGATGTAGCTAGTTAAAAAAAATATAATAGCCATAATAATTTTATTAAAATGTTGTCCAGGTGAAGACATACTATATATGTTAGAATAATTTTTTAAAAATTTAAATACATCACATGTTATATCATAATTTACTTTAATGTGATTTATATTTTTTGAAACTTTGCCAGTATTATCATGTACACATCTTCAAGGCCATGTTTATGAAAATGCTAAGCTATATTTTATAGATATTTATAACTAACTCTAACAAGAAATAAATAAGTATCATAACAAATTAAAATATTGTTATTATAATAATAATTATAACACCAATACTATTTACTATTACTAGTTACTTTTTTTGTATTTTCTTCTTTTTAAAAAGCTAATAATTGTTTTTTAATAACTATATTTTGTATTTTGCTATCTAGGCTTTCAAATTCAGCTTGATATTTAAGAAACTGATCATAGCCAATTTTTCAAAACAGAGTTGCTTAGTAAAATGACATGAGTATTTTTTTTCAAAAAATTTATTAACTTCTAAATTTAATTTATTATAGATTATATCTTCAATATCATTATTAAAAATATCTACAAACTCTAATTCATTCAACTTATTCAAATTAATATTTTTATCATCAATATTAGATAATTCATTATTCAGTTTTTTATTATTTAATTCTTTATCCAATTCATTGTTAGTTAACTTTTCATCACTTAATTTCCTATCATCTTTTTCATTTTCTGAATCTAAATACTCAACAAAAAAAAATATTGCCTAAATTTTTTAAAGATTCTAAAATAAATTTATTTGCTTTATTATTGTTAAAATGTATATTATATTCTATAATTTTGTTGGAATAAAAAATTCTGAATCAATGTATAGTTATTAGCTCAATACAATAAATAAATAAATAAAATAAAGCAGTAATATGTTCATAATATTGATAATTTTTTAGATACTTGATTGAATAGGCTTTTTATATAACAAAATTAGACTAACAATTAGAGTTTTAATGTTTACAAACTTTTTAAATCAATTAATTTTAATTATCTATTTAATTATCTTGATCAAAATTTGGGTAATAAAATATTATTTATATTCATAACAGTAACACTGTTTTACAATTTAAAATAACTATTCATAACTATAACTAAATCTTAATTATAACAAGCTAAAATGCCTCCAATATGCATATTGAATTGCTAATCTTAACAATTACTATTACAATAAATATCAAAAACAGTTACTGTTACTATAAACAAATAATTTATTATATAATTAAAAAAAACAAATCTATTTCATAAAAATATGACTATTAGACAAGTAATTACTAAAAAAATCTCAAAATATGATTGACTATCCTGAAGCCACCTTTTGCTAAAGGTCCTTCTATATATATATTAAACAACTATATCTAAAAAACTAAATAATATAAAATATATAACTAAAGACTTAACAATTAATAATCTAAAAAATATTACCTCTTAATCTGTAAGCTTTTTCAGACAAATTTGTCTATAAAATTATTAAAAACATGCTAATGATTTATATTTTTTAAATTTTAAAATATTTAAATAAAATTTTATTTAATAATATTTGAAAATAAGAATTATATTATA